TAATCAACTGCTTTAAAAAAGGGAGAGAAAAAAAATCACTCTTCTTTCTGCACCTAGGAATATATATATATTTTCTCCTAACACAACATTTAAGAAAAAGAAGACATTCCCGACATACATTTGTGTGATATTGTCATATGTAAAACAGATAGCTGATGGGAATTTGTTGTATGACACAGGGAACCCTAACCCGGTGTTCTGTGACAACCAAGAGGAGTGGAATGAGAAGGGAGGTGGGAGGGAGGTTTAGGAGGGAGAGGACATATGTATAACTATGTCTGATTCCTGTCGAGGTATGGCAGAAGCCATCACAATATTGTAAAATAATTATCCTTCAGTTAAAAATAAAATTAAAATAAATAGAAAAATGTATATGATGATAGCAGGGGGTTGGAAATGTGGCATTGCCTGGCAAAAATGCCTGAGGATGGAATGGAATGGGGTAAGTTATAGAAGTGAGAACTGCCAGTCAAGTTTTGCAATAGCTTAACTGGTATACAGAGGATCTGAACTTCAGGGCCTCTGAGAAAGGTCCTTTCTACTGGAAGAAGAAACAGGAGCTGGTGACACATGAATTATGATCACCAAGACTTCTCTTTCCTGGTCCCTATGTCTTAGTCACCCTCTTTGCTGAAATTATGCAAAGAATAAACAAAAGTTCAGAGGGTTGGAGTTAGTAAGAATTTGAAGCAATTAGTCCAATCTTTCCTTAACAGTTGAGGAAAAGGAAGTAAGAAAAGTGAAACATTATTCCCCAGGTCATGCTCCTGGCTAATGGTGGAGCTTGGAATAGGACCAACTCCTTTCCAGATTTCCAGAAAGACAGGAGGACCTTACTGGTTTAATGTTAACCTTTGTATTCTACTTAAAGGAAAAATAAAAATCCATTTGTTAATATATACTCTTTACCCTTGTCTGGTTTGTGGCTCTATTTAGAGAGTTGAAAAAAAACCAACAACAAAACAAACAGAGAAAGAACAGAAGGAAACAAATATAAACAGATTCAAAGGGCAACTGGGACACATAGATAAAACAGTGAAAGAAAACAAGACTAGAAGACAAGATTTTCGAGCAAGGTGCCTGGCATGTGATTTCTCTGGTGGCTCAGTCGTAAGCAATCCACCTGCCAAGCAGGAGACATGGGTTTGATCCTGGGTGGGTAAGATCCCTGGAGGAGAAAATGGCAACCCACTCCAGTATTCTTGCCTGGGAATTCCTAGAGACAGAGGAGCCCATTGGGCTACAGTCCATGGGGTCGCAGAGTCTGACATGACTTAGCAACTAAACGACATCCTGTCTTGTGGGGTTATGAGCCCCATCTTGTGGCCCTTTTGGATATTGCTTAAGGCTAATTTTTGAATCAGTCTACATAATTGGAGCAGCATTCCTTGGCTTCCCTGGTGGCTCAGATGGTAAAGAATCCACCTGCAACGTGGAGGAGGCCTGGGTTCAATCCCTGGGTTGGGAAGAACCCCTGGAAAAGGGACTGGCTACACACTCCAGTGTTCTTGCCTGGAGAATTCCATGGCCAGAGGAACCATTAGTTCACAAAGACTTGGGCACAACTGAGCAAGTAACACTTTATACTTTCAAACTCAACTGGAGTACCCGAAAATCACCTGGATGTGAAAATGCAGATTCCTAGGCCTTTCCCTCCAAAGAGGCAAATAGATCAAAGAACCTGGGCTCAAGAATCTGTGCTTCTAGAAAGCTCCCCAGGTGATAGGGGAAACAAACTGGCACTGATCAAGAAACACCTGTCAACAACAAACTGGCACTTGCCATCCACCCTACAAGGAATAAATCATGTGCTGCTGCTTGCTGACTTTCAACACTTCTGAAAGGAGTTCAGGGTAGACAGCAGAAATGAGACTCTGTGCTCTGGGAAAAACTAGTGGGATAGATCTTCATATAGTTAGATATTTTCAGGAGCTGATTTTATGAGCCCAATTCTTGTATCTCCTCATATTTAGAAAAGTATTAACATCCTTCATGGTGACAACTGCTCCTCATGACTAGCAGACCCCTTTGGCAAAATATATGTGCTTGATTTCATGTACTTCCCCCTCACCAAAATCATATATATACTGACCTCCCTCCCTCCCTCTTTGGAGCAATTTTTCAGAAATATCTAAAATGCTAACTCCCCAGCTATAGTCCTCTTTTTTTTTTTTTAACTCAGAATATAGTCTTCATTTTGCCCCCAATGAAATTTAACTCACAACTCTCACATTGTGTACTTTTTTGACAGCATACTGCAAACGGCAATAAGAATTAGTGGCATCCATCCCTTAGGCATTGTGGCTAAAGGCCTATTCTGAGTACAACTTTGGAAGGAACTTGCCTAGCACTATAAAGGTCTGAGATTTTTAGCCTGCTTGCAAGCTAACAAATTATCAATGAAAAAAAAAAAAGGTTCCTGCCTTATCAGTTAACAAAGGATGCTGCAGCCATCAAGCCGTCATAGTAATGCTGCCCCAACCTAGCAGTCAACCACCGCAGCCACCCATCAATGATGTGCCCTGAAGAGACTCGGCAGGAGAAAGCACAGGGCACTAGCTTCAGATGGCTGAGGTGCATGCCAAAGGAGTGATTTCAGTGAGTCCAGACTGCTGTATTTTCCCGTACACAGAAAAAGTGCTAAATTCCTTGAGATATCTGCTTTTCCTTAACAGCAATCTTTTGAAGTTTTGACTAGTTGGTCTTGGTTACAAAAACAACTATATATGGCTCCTCCCTTACCTCTTTGGAGCAGTCTCTCAGAGCTGGCCGAGATGCTGTGTCCCTGGCTTAAGTCCTCAGTTTTGTTCACCAAATAAAACACGATCCTCAACTTTTAGATTTTTTTTTTCCATTGACACTTTAGTATGCAAGTTTCAGGAATGCTGGTAGATGAGACTCTTGGTTCAGAGACAAAGGACAGTTTATTACTAACAGCAATTTCTGTAGTCAGATTATAGCCACTTGAGCCAGTTTCCTGACTTAATTCCCAAAAGGCTTTGTAGAGTGGAGGATGGAGCTTAGAGAACCTGAATCTTTTTTTTTAATTGGAGGATAATTACAATATTGTGGTGGTTTTGCCATACATCGACATGAATCAGCCATGGGTTACATATATGTACCCCCATCCTGAACCCCTCTCCCATCTCCTTCCCCACCCCATCCCTCTGGGTTTTCCTAGAGCACTGGCTTTGAGTGCCCTGCTTCATGCATCGAACTTGCACTTGTCATGTTTTACATATGGTAATATACATGTTTCAGTGCTATTCTTTCACATCATCCCACCCTTGCCTTCTCCCACAGAGTCCAAGTCTGTTCTTTACATCTGTGTCTATTTTGCTGCCTCGCATATAGGATCATCATTACTGTCTTTCTAAATTCCATATATATGTGTCAATAAACTGTATTGGTGTTTCTCTTTCTGAGAAACTTCACTCTTTCTTCACTCTATGTAACAGGCTCTAGTTTCATACACTTCATTAGAACTGACTTAAACGCATTTTTATAGCGAGTAATATTCCATTGTGTATATGTATCACAACTTTTTTAACCATTCATCTGCTGATGGATATCTTGGTTGCTTCCATGTCTTAGCTATTGTAAACAGCACTGAAATGAACATTGGGGTACACGTGTCTATTTCAATTCTGGTTTCCTTGGTGTGTATGCCCAGCAGTGGGATTGCTGGGTCGTATGGCAGTTCTATTTCCAGTTTTTAAAGGAATCTCCACACTGTTTTCCATAGTGGCCGTACCAGTTTGCATTCTCATCAACAGTGTAAGAGGGTTCCCTTTTCTTCACACCCTCTCCAGCATTTATTGTTTGAAGAGTTTTTGATGCCAGCCAGTCTGACCAGTGTGACATGATACCTCATGTATCATCATTTTGATTTGCATTTCTCTAATAATGAGTGATGCTGGGCATCTTTTCAAGTGTTTATTAGCCATCTATATGTCTTCTTTGGAGAAATGTCTGTTTAGTTCTTTGGCCCACTTTTTGACTGGGTTGAGAACCCAAAACTTTTACAATGCAGAGAGACTGCCTGAAGGGAAACATTGTCTCTCTCTTCCCAGGCTCTTCATCATAGAAACATCCTTGAAGTGACAGTTCAAAAATGGCAGTGTTTCTGGATAGCATACAGAAACACCATACAGGTGGAGAATTGTCATCCAGCAGAAACCGTTAATGGAAGGAATCCTACATCTGAATGCTGTAAAGTGATCAACCTGAGGCAAGTGGAGTAACTCAGACCTGCTGTACCTGGCAGGAAAATTCAGCCTGGACTGTAACTACAGTCCATAGCTAACTTTGCAGACGTCTTTTATCTCTATTTCACTCAGGAGGAAATAGATTTTGGAAAAGATTGTGACTTGCCCGCCTGTCCAAACAAGACAAGAATTGGGTCCTCTCAGAGGTCTTCCACTGCCCCCTGCTCTCACTCATTTCTTCCTTACCCCAGCAGGCAGGAACTAAACAGGCCAAAATAAGTAAACAACTAATTCAAGAGCGGGCATAGATCTTTCAAAGGGGCACTGCAAACTCAAGCAGTGAAAACGCTAATGACGCTGCAAGATCACACTCCATTTCGGAACCAGGAAGTAAGGAGCTCTGGTTTCTCCCACCTCACTGGCATTAGATTTCCGGAAACTAAGGAAGTGGCTCCTAGACTTCATTTTCCATTTGAAATCTGAAGTAGGTTTCAATGCTACGGAAGCCCTAGAGCAAGGATAGGTAGTTTCTTCTTGGCTAAACTTGACCGGCACGCCCAGAACCCGCGCGGACCGCAGAACAGATGGGCTCCGCCCCACTCTTCCGGGATTTCCCGAGCTGACCGGAAGTGGGGCGGAGCCCTCTAAGCTCGCCCCGAGCAATTGGCCGGGGCCACTGTCGCTCAGTGCTCCGAACGGAAGAGGCTGGGCGCCTCGTTTAGGGTCCAGAGAGCAGTCAGGCGGGTGGGAGGGACTGGAGCGAAAGTTACCGGCTCGAGAGCCGGGAAGGCTATGGAGCCGGACCCCGCCGCGTCTCCTGGGCCTTCCCGCTCCTTCAAAGAGGAGCTGCTGTGCGCCGTCTGCTATGACCCCTTCCGCGATGCCGTGACTCTGCGCTGCGGCCACAACTTCTGCCGCGGGTGCGTGACCCGCTGCTGGGAGGTTCAGGTGGCGCCCACCTGTCCGGTGTGCAAGGACCGCGCGGCCCCCGCCGACCTGCGCACCAACCACACCCTCAACAACCTGGTGGAGAAGCTGCTGCGCGAGGAGGCCGAGGGCGCGCGTTGGACCGGCCACCGCTCCCCGCGCCTCTGCCGCCTGCACCGCGGCCAGTTCAACCTCTTCTGCCTCGACGACAAGGAGCTGCTGTGCTGCTCGTGCCAGGCCGACCCCCGGCACCAGGGACACCGCGTGCAGCCGGTGAAGGACACCGCCCACGACTTTCGGGTAAGAGTTGCTGCGGGCGGGAGTTGGCCGAGCGCGCACGTGGACCGGAACCTAGCATCCTGACCGCGCTGCTCCTGCACTCCCGTCCCTCTTTCCCCTGCCAGCTTGCTGGTGCCTCCTCAGGACCCTATCTTCCCCTGGTAACATACAGAGCCTACATCGAGCACCGCCCAGGGGGTGAGATAGGAGAGGAGAGACTGTCAACAGGAAGTTTGAGAATTGGGATGACAGGATGTTCTCAAGACCTCCCGCCCATCTCTGAAGGGCTGAGGCCCTGCGCCCTTTCTACCAGGCGGGTGTGGCTCATGCCTATTTTAGAAGCACAGGTTGAGTAAGCCCAGCAACCCTGGAATGTGGCAGACAGAGGGCAGAAGTGCAGCACCTGAGGTCCTGGTCAAGAATATGGAGCTTTTAGGTCTTCCTCCACATCCCTCACCTACTTCCTGGGCTGGCCCCATCTATTGCGTAGCTCTGGGGAGGCCTCTGGCCCTGGCCAGCTAGTTTATCTTGGATCACTCTCTCACCATCCCCCATGCCTGGAGTTTAACTGGTTATAAATGAAGGAGCTCCAGTATTTTGGACACCTGATGTGGAAAGCCCACCCACTGGAAAAGACCCTGATGCTGGAAAAGATTGAGAGCAGGAGGAGAAGGGGACGACAGAGGATTAGATGGTTGGATGGCATCATCGGCGCAATGGACAGGCATTTGAGCAAACTCCAGGAGATGGTGGAGGACAGGGAAGCCTGGCATGCTGCAGTCCATGGGGTGCCAAAGAGTCGGACACGACTGAATGACTGAACAACAACAAAAATAAAGGAGCAGCTTATAAGGAGAAACGAACATGAAGTTTTTGGCATAGGAAGGAGAGTGATCAGGAAATCAGGGTCAGCCAGCTCAGGAGTTTTCAGAATTTTTGACCTTTGCTGGCCCATTGTTGTTCAGTCGCTCAGTCTTTCTGATTGTGACCCCATGGACTGCAGCACACCAGGCTTCCCACAGTGAGAAATATCGTTTTCCATTGTGACTCAGAACAGCCACATGTATGTATCATGTTCTGTATCAGTGGAAACAAAAATTCTGTGAAAATCTCTATTGTAGTCTGGCATTTTCTGTCATTATATTTAAAAAATGACATAGGCAGTAAAACATTTGATCACCTACTTATATCTACTCATACATAGGTCAGACCCACAGTTTGGAGAACACTGGTTAGCTAGTCTGAAGATGAGTGTATTGAAAATAAGTATTTCAAAAAGTTGAAAATATTGTATAAGAATGCTTGTTCTTCGGATACTGTTTTAGTTTGTTTTAATGCCTTTGTTGTTGTTGTTTAGTCACTAAGCTGTGTCTGACTCTTTTATGACCCCATGAACTGTAGCTTACCAGACTCTTCTGTCCATGGGATTTTCTAGGCAATAATACTGGAGTGGGTTGCCATTTCCTTCTCCAGGGGGTCTTCCTGACCCAAGGATCGAACCCTCGTCTCCTGCATTGACAGGTGGATTCTTTACCACTGAGCCACCAGGGAAATTCACAATGAAAGTAGACAGTTCCATATACTTTTTGGCAAAGTTCAAGTGAAGGAGAGTGTCATCAACCTGGTTGTTTGAAGAGTGTTTGAACAGTGGTCCACAGCAATGCTTTTTCTTATTTCACCTGGCAGAACTGCCAGGTTCTGATTTGAGACAGCTGATGTGTTAATAAGTGTGGGCATTCCGGGCATCCTGGGGCCTGGTGTCGAGGTAAGGGGACACCATGGATCAAGTCGTGATGAGTCACTGTGGGGCTGGCAGATACAGATCAGAAGGTAGGTGGGGGTCAAGGCCAAGAACACTAAGACAGAAGCTCCAGATGTGGGCTAAGCCAGGATTCAAGATCAGTGAGCCAGGTACCAGGAAGTACACACGTTCTAATGACCTGTTACTGTTTATTCAACAGATGTCTTATACTGCTAGGTCCTGGGGATACTGCAGAACAGGAGCTGAACAGTAATTCATACCTTCAAGGAGCTATAAGCAGAGACCCAAGGAATAAGGAGGTATTAGCCAGGTGACTGTGGCTCAGATCATGAACTCCTTATTGCCAAATTCAAAAGTATGGAAAACCACTAGACCATTCAGGTATGACCTAAATCAAATCCCTTACGATTATACAGTGGAAGTGAGAAATAGATTTAAGGGACTAGATCTGATACACAAAGTGCCTGATGAACTATGTGTGGAGGTTCGTGCATTGTGCAGGAGACAGGGATCAAGACCATCCCCATGGAAAAGAAATGCAAAAAAGGCAAAATGGTTGTCTGAGGAGGCCTTACAAGTAGCTGTGAAAAGAAGAGAAGCAAAAAGCAAAGGAGAAAAAGAAAGATATTCCCATTTGAATGCAGAGTTCCAAAGAATAGCCAGGAGAGATAAGAAAGCCTTCCTCAGTGATCAATGCAAAGAAAGAGAGGAAAACAACAGAATGGGAAAAACTAGAGATCTCTTCAAGAAAATTAGAAATACCAAGGGAACATTTCATGCAAAGATGGGTTCGATAAAGGACAGAAATGGTATGGACCTAACAGAAGCAGAAGATATTAAGAGGAGGTGGCAAGAATACACAGAAGAACTATACAAAAAAGATCTTCACGACCCAGATAATCATGATGGTGTGATCACTCAACTAGAGCCAGACATCCTGGAATGTGAAGTCAAGTGGGCCTTAGAAAGCATCACTATGAATAAAGCTAGTGGAGGTGATGGAATTCCAGTTGAGCTATTTCAAATCCTAAAAGATGATGCTGTGAAGGTGCTGCACTCAATATGCCAGCAAATTTGGAAAACTCAACAGTGGCCACAGGACTGGAAAAGGTCAGTTTTCATTCCAATCCCAAAGAAAGGCAATCCCAAAGAATGCTCAAACTACCGCACAATTGCACTCATCTCCCACACTAGTAAAGTAATGCTCAAAATTCTCCAAGCCAGGCTTCAGCAGTACATGAACCGTGAACTTCCAGATGTTCAAGCTGGTTTTAGAAAAGGCAGAGGAACCAGAGATCAAATTGCCAGTATCCGCTGGATCATCGAAAAGGCAAGAGAGTTCCAGAAAAACATCTATTTCTGCTTTATTGACTATGTCAAAGCCTTTGACTGTGTGGATCACAATAAACTGTGGAAAATTCTGAAAGAGATGCGCATACCAGACCACCTGACCTGCCTCTTGAGAAACCTTTATGCAGGCTAGGAAGCAATAGGTAGAATTGGACATGGAACAACAGACTGGTTCCAAATAGGAAAAGGAGTACATCAAGGCTGTATATTGTCACCCTGCTTATTTAACTTATATGCAGAGTACATCATGAGAAATGCTGAGCTGGAAGAAGCACAAGCTGGAATCAAGATTGCCAGGAGAAATATCAATAACCTCAGATATGCAGATGACACCACCCTTATGGCAGAAAGTGAAGAGGAACTAAAAAGCCTCTTGATGAAAGTGAAAGAGGAGAGTGAAAAAGTTGGCTTAAAGCTCAACATTCAGAAAATTAAGATCATGGCATCTGGTCCCATCACTTCATGGGAAATAGATGGGGAAACAGTGGAAAGAGTGTCAGACTTTATTTTTTTGGGCTCCCAAATCACTGCAGATGGTGATTGCAGCCATGAAATTAAAAGACGCTTACTCCTTGGAAGGAAAGTTATGACCAACCTAGATAGCATGTTAAAAAGCAGAGACATTATTTTGCCAACAAAGATCTGTCTAGTCAAGGCTGTGGTTTTTCCAGTGGTCATGTATGGATGTGAGAGTTGGACTGTGAAGAAAGCTGAGCGCCGAAGAATTGATGCTTTTGAACTGTGGTGTTGGAGAAGACTCTTGAGAGTCCCTTGGACTGCAAGGAGATCCACCCAGTCCATCCTAAAGGAGATCAGTCCTGGGTGTTCATTGGAAGGACTGATGCTGAAGCTGAAACTCCAATACTTTGGCCACCTCATGCAAAGAGTTGACTCATTGGAAAAGACCCTGATGCTGGGAGGGATTGGGGGCAGGAGGAGAAGGGGACGACAGAGGATGAGATGGCTGGATGGCATCACCAAGTTGATGGACATGAGTTTGAGTAAACTCCAGGAGGTGGTGATGGACAGGGAGGCCTGGCGTGCTGCGATTCAAGGGGTCGCAAAGAGTCGGACACGACTGAGCAACTGAACTGAACTGCGCCAGGTGAAAGGGGCCAGGGAAGTTATTTCAGGTAGTGGCATGTGTAACAGTCCAGAGGAGGGAGGCCAGATTTTCCAGGTACCTAGAGAATTTCAGAGTGAGGAAGAATGAGGATGGCGATTTAGAAGGAGCCAGGAGGTCCCAGGCTTGTCCTTTATCCTTAAAACTGTAGGGAGAGGACTTCCCTGGTGTTCCCATGGTTAAGACTTCACCTTCCATTGCAGGGGGTGTGAGTTTGATCTCTGGCTGGGGGGACAAGATCCCACATGCCTCAAGTCCAAAAAAAAACACAAAACCCCAAAACATAGAAAAGAAGCAATATTTTAACAAATTCCGTAAAGATTTAAAAAATGATCCACATCAAAACAAAAAAATGTCAAAAAAAAAAGAGACTGGGGAGTAATGGGAGTGTTTTGAGCAGAGGAAGGATGCATCAGAGCAGTGGGCACTCAGGACAGTGTCTGAGGGGCCCAGGAGTCCAGTCCCAAAGATCTGAGGAGTGTGCTCAGCCTGGTGCCAGCTGGCTTCACTTGTGGCATCAGCTGTGCGCCAGGGCTGTCCTGAGTGCTGAGGCTGCGGAGGTCAGGAAAGCGGAGCCCTCGCCCCGTGGAGCTGGGGGAGGTCAGCCAGCAGAGAGTCAGGTTGTAGTTCTGGATGACTGGAGTAGGTGGAGGTGTAGGGAGAATAGCATGGGAAGGCAGGAGAGGTGAGAAGGGGCCAATGGGGAGCCCCCAAAAGCTTTTACATAGGCGTTCGGCAATTTGATTTGTGTGTAGGAGACTACTTTGGCAACCACATGAGGAACTC